TTAGAATTGCTAGTTTTTCGGGCACGCTCGGGGTTGTGATCACGATCTTCTTTTGTTTTGGTATGAATGCCGTCGAAGACAGCGATGAGCGCGACGCGATAGCGATGAGCGTGACGCGATCGAGGCGACTGAGGCCTCGTCGTCGAACTTTGCTCGCGTCCGCAGTCCTCCTGCCATCGGTGACGTGGCATCGTCTACCATGGCCGGAGCGAGAAAAACGCACTCCGACCTGTCCGCGGTTCTCAGCGAACCTCTCGTCATCCTTCTTGGAGGTTTCTCCGTAACCTCTATCCTAGTGTTTTCCGCCTCGCCAGGCGCAGAAACACGTCCGGAGGCCTGGCGGTCCACCCTCGAACGGCCGTGGTCGTGAGATGACGACGCAGTTGTGCCCACTTGACTAACCAGACTGCGCCGGTACCACCGGGGTCTCCCTTCCCTGCGCTGTAAACGTTTTTACTCTGTTTACTCGAATTCATGATAACTTATTTGTTTGGTGTCGCCAGGTCGTCCTCAAGTTTCTCCATCCTGGTGTCACTTACTCTTTCGCACCCTGTCCCGGTCAAGGGGCCAACACCTCTGTGAGTAAAGCAACCCTAATTGAGCCACCTCCAAATTTCATAGTTTGTTTTATACCACCTGGTTGATCATTAATTCTCGGATGAAGTCCAATACCAGGACCTTCCGTCGGATTCAAATCTGTTAATTTTTGTTTCGTCACTCCATATAACTCTCTTCCAATCTTCGTTGTTCTTCTTTCACTTCTTTTTAGGTGTCAACAAATTGTTTTCGTAATTTGATATTTTTGTTTGAAAGAGCTGGTTTACTTTCCTTTTCCTTCCTTTCTTTTCCTTTTTCTTCCAATCCCTCAATTCTTTTTAAAGAGCGACGAATGGTCCATTCGCTAGCACTTATTTCGATCTCCTGAGCAGCAATTTTTGGTGTTTTGTAACTATCCGACTGAATACAGTGTGCAATTTCACGTGCTGCTGTATCCGAAATAAGTCGCGGTCTACCGTTTTGTGAAGAAATTGGTGCACTAACATACCTTTTCTTATTCTTGCAACTATGTTATAACCGACACCACATTTCTCTGCATTTTGCCGCAACGACAAACCTTCATCACACAAACAAATAATACCTGCGAAACAGTGGACAATCAGTGCTTATTGACAGTCTCGTTTCCCTGACATTTACATGCTATCATAAACGTTTCTGACGAAACGTGCAAAGCAGTAAACATTGTTTCAAAACACAATTATTATAAAATATTCTGTACACTATTGATGTTAATGAAAATGAATTATTATATTTCGTTGATCAGACGTAGCTTGTAGTTACTGTTACCTAATCTTTACCAATCACTTGAAAAATTAGTCGTAGTATCGTCTTTTATATAAAATCAGCGGAGTGTGTTTACACTTTTGCTCGTCACTGTGTTTCCCTAAGTCTTAAATAACAACTGTGCTGAATAAAACAATTTTTGCTCCAATATGATAAGTATAATTTGCATCTTTAATATGAAAATGCTTACAAAATTACAGATAATATAGGCATTTACATATTTACAGGACTTTACGATAAAATATTTAATGTAATTAATTGTGAAAAGCAAACAAGGATCTATACATAAGCCAACATTGCAATCGTTACGCTCATATCGTGATTCGGATTTTATCATTTTTTCTACAAACCACACATCTTCGTTTTCGGTTTTTATTGTTTGGCTTACAGAATGAGGGAAAAGATCTGTAGAGGATGGATCTATACAAATATCACTAATAACTAGTCTAAACTATTCCTAACAGTACATTTTCAAAGAAAATTCCGACCCACGATTTCTAATTTTTAACAGATTGGCAATTATACCTTAAGCCGATCTATTGCTAATTCTTGCAGCCGTATATGAAATATCGTTTCACTGTTAATGGATTTAACAGACTTTTGGCATACGATCGTTTGGATGTTCGAAATATATTACGTAAAACGCTTTGATGTTGTTTCAACAATGAGTAACTTTTAAGAAGTGATTAATCCAATATATCAATAAAATCAAGAGAAAATGTTCTACCGATAACGAAAAAATATATTATTGACTACAGATTGCACTGGTGTATGCCCGATATTATGGGGTGCTGAACCCAGGATTCCTTGCTGTAATTTTCTGATAGAAGTTAGTTTATTATTTCATCATCCACGAACAGCTGAAACACATTATATGGATTGATAACGCCAGGTAATTGCCTAATGAGGCCACCTGTCTCGGTGAAAGGAACTGACTTCTGCCGACCACTAAGTTCATTCCATTCACCAAATTGAATTGTACTTTCCTTCGTACCATCAGTCCTTTTTCTTCCTCAATGACCAATTCTTGTAAAATTTCGCCAACAGTATCTTCATTACATTCAATGTCACTACAATTGTACTTATTAACCCTTAGAGTGCTGAATATTCGCGGCCTATGCGGTCCGTACGGACGGCACGCGGCCAGCGCTGACGATCGCTGTGGACTGAGTACTTTTTCGCTAAACTGAACTCTTTTGATTGACTATTCAAAGCGCAAATCGTAATAAGTTATAGTAATTCTTTTGCACGAGATTAAATGATTCAAGAGCGTTATTTTTTAGTATTAATTATTTATTATAAACATCGAAATTTGCAATAAACTGGAATTCGGGTAATAAACTAGAAAACTTTAAAAACTAGAAACTAACTAAAACTAGAAACTTTAAAAACTTTAAACTAGAAAAATTTAGTAAATATAACACGCGTTAATAATTCAGTTGTGCGTGAAAAATTTCAAAACAATTATCGATACATAATCCGACATTGCATTTTCTGCATTCGTAATTTATCGATTACTGGTCGTATTTTTGCTAAAGGATCGTCACTTGCTGTATAATTATCGTTAAAGTGCAACACTTGTATTGTTATTATTATTTATTATTATTGCTTACTCCGTGCCTTTCAACTTTGGACGAACTCTCGGTTTTACATCTCTTATGTCTATTTCTCTTCTTATACGTCTACCTCCCCTCTTTTCCACTCTATTTTATTGCACTTACTCATTCTACTTCTAAAAACTAAAAATTAAGAACCATAAAATAGCAACTAATGACTAAAAACTATTGCAACTTTGGTCTTTAGCCTCCTTGCTGTGCCTCCTTCTTGTCATTTGCCCTTCTCTTCTCTATTATCGTTTTCAGTTCCGCTAAACCTTCTCCAGTCTCGTTTAGCGTTTTTCCTATGTCCTTTGGTCCTCCCGTTATTTCACATTCTTCTATTAGATGTCTGAGGTCTTCTTCTTTCCTTCTGCATAGTCTACATCTTTTTTCCTCCTCTTCTTTCCAGTATTCCCTTGCTTTGGTCTCGTTTCCGCATCTGAATCTTGTCAGTATTCTTCTGTCCTTCCACTTCATGCTCCCTTCTAAGTACTTTTGTAATTTTTCTCCGGCTGTGTTTCTGTAGCGTGTATTATATTTGGATTCCCTTATTCTTTTCCCCCCTCTCTTCTACTTCTCTCTTTCTTCTTTCTTCTATAATTTGGTCTGCTGTCATCTTTTCTTGCCCCCGTCCTGTTTCTATCTGCGTCCTTCCTTTTCTCACCTCTCCTAGTCCCTTCTTTCTCTTTCTTGCTCTTTTCCCTTCCTGACCATTCCCCCATTCTCTCTCTCTTTCCTTTATACACTCCTTTACTAATTCCTTTTTTGATTCTAGGGCTTTCTCTTCGTACCTTGCTGCTCTTTTTAATGCTTTTTCTTTCATTTCTATTAATTTGCACTCCTCTACCAGTATATAATTTGGTGTTGTCATATCTAAGCCTAATATCCATTTCACATATCCCCTTTGAACTCTGTCCAGTCTTTCTTCCATACCTCTGCTCCAAACAGCGCCACGCTCTCTACCAGTGCTCCAAACATCTTCATTCTCCTTTTGTAGTCCTGTTTGAATATTCTTTCTCCCACGCACCATGTTTTCTTCATTGCTATTGTTGCTCTCTTTTTTCTGTCTTGTGTGTGCTTCTCGTCACTTCCGTTTTTCTGTAGTATATACCCTAGGTATCTTATCTCGTCCACTTCTTCTAATTCTTGCTCTCCTCCTTTCCATTCTCTTTGCCTCCTTTTGTTCTTTCTTTTTTCAAAGACTACTATTTTGGTCTTTTCCGTGCTCAGTTCTAAATCGGCTTGCTTTGACAATTTTTTGAGCCTCTTTAACATTTCTTTTAACTCCTTCCTGTCCGCCATCAGCACAATATCGTCTGCATATGTTAGTGACCACAATTTTCTTCCTCCTACCACTATGCCCCGAGCTTGCCCTTTCCTTAGTTCTTCCAGTCCTGCCACATGCATGTTGAAGGTGCATCTTGATTAGCGGGTGCCTTTGTCTGACTCTCCTCACAGTCCAAAATTCTCCTGTGTTGTGGGTGTTGACTCTCACTAGATTTCTTGTTTTTTCGTATATTCCTCCAATTCTTCGGATTAGTTTTTCGCTAATCCCCATTTTCCCCATTTTCTCCTCCAGATTCTCTCTGTTTAGCCTCTCGCCGCTCGTAAGTCCGCAAAACAGGCATATAATTTCCCTTTTTCTTTACTTAACGATCTGGCATTGACGAGATGGCTTATCACATAAACCGCGTCGGTCACTCCTCTTCCTTTTCTGAATCCAAATTGGCTCTCTTCCAATTTGTCTTCAATCTCTACATTCAGTCGTTCGTCTAGTATCCCTGCGTAGATCTTGTATGCCAATTAGTGTTACTGCAACATTACTGTAATAATATCATGTATAGATTTCGTATTATTATTTTGCGGGAAATATTGTTTTTCAACGATTCGTCCGTAGACCAATATTCTCTTGTCACGTCGAAGACGCAAGAAATCACGAAACCGATAGATCGCCGATGATCTTCTCGCGTCGCAGTTCGAACGTTTCGCGAGTAAGGTGAAGAAATTGAACTTCCTATAAAATGATGGAATTTTTATCGTATAAATCCAATAGAGTGACGGTTCAAACTGTTACAACAGAATAATGTGTGAGCGCTTATTTAGGAGGGTTTTTATATGGAGGTTTTAATCCCTTTGGAGGGGTTATCGTCGGATGTATATCAGAGGCGGCTATTCAGTTAACATTTAGTTATTGTTTCGATAGTAGTAGCTTGCAGGATGTTTGGGCTATTTGATCACTGCTTCTGAGCGGATGGCCCTCCTTGAGCGTGTGATATTCCCCCTTCTTAGATTCGCTTTGCTCCGTTAGCGTATGGCTCTGGTGGATCGTCTGTTTTGAATGATTCCGTTATCTTCATTTCCTGTAATGTTTTGGAAAGTGACGGTCCCGTGGGCTGATGGAAGAATTGGTGTGGTTGGTATTTCATGCATATTATTTATATGAACGGTCGGGCAAAGTATTCTGATACGTACATTTTTAGGAATTACTCGACTTAGACATTCGAAAAGTTTACATTTATATAATATATATACTGTTCCTAGTCCTAGGGCTATGTGTCCTAATATTTGTAATGTTGATGTGCCATATTCTCTGAGTGAGTTTATACGCCGTTCAAATTGTAAGCTATTGACTTGTGTCTGTAACGTATCGAGGTTGGCTTTACATTGATTAAAATTGTGAGTTACTTTTGGAGCGGTTTCTAATATTTCTTCTAGCGTTGGAATGTCTATTTCTTTGAAACTGTGTGAACTATTTTTAATTTTGATTTCGTAAGAAATATTTTTATGTATTTCTCCTATTTTCATAATATTGAACTCCCGTGTGATTATACATCCGGTTTTGCTGCTAATTAAACTCGGTTGTTCGATTTCTAAGATTTTATGTGTTTTACATAATACGTCGATCTGCACATTTTTCATAGGGATAATGATATAATGATTTTCAGTCTGTAAGGGTACGAACGTCAATTCTTTCAACTTGAATACGGCCGTTGGGCAAGTTTTTACTATCTGTTGATTATTAATTAATTCGATTCTACATTCAGGTGAATTGATTCTATTGTGGCTTGTTTGAGTTCTCTTACAAATGTGGACGATTGCCGTTCGTTTACAATATTTATTTAAGTAGTGGCTATGGACAAAGGTGTATTGTTCCGAGTTGGTCAGTATTAAGTCAGTTTCTACTATAGGTATGATAAATACAGAGTTTTGCTTGAAAGGTATCGGATAAATTTTCCACTCGTTATCTTCTAAAAGTGGCACAGTTATCGTATATATAAGTTTGTTATCATTTGTCCATAATTTTAATTTACTTAGATCTAGAATTAGTTGAAAGTTTTCAACTGAAGGTTCGATATGGTTACTCATAATGTTTTGTTTTGTTATTTGGTTGAGTGTTGTTAAGAATTGTTTAGGTTCTATAATTTGTGAATTTATGATTCCTTGTTTTCCTGATATGATAGTGTTAAAAATTTCGTCGACGTTAAAATATGGTGCTCCGATATGGGAAATTCAATCTGAATTAGTGAAGAGATAATTATTTCGTTTTTCTGTGGATTATCAGTTAGACTGTAACGACATGACAGACAATTTTCGATTTCGTATCTGAATGAATTTCGTTTTTCTAGATCACTTTTCTAGACATTGGATGTATGTAACGACACTATGCTAGATGTTATGGTCACAGTGCTTATGTTTCTGTGGGATCGGTGTAGTCATATCCTCATTGTCACTGGCATTGTCATCACTGCAGACATCCAACTCAACAGGGATGCAACTCTCTGGCATTTTCCTCAATCTGTAGTGACTGTATTTATATGCTCGTTTATCTAAAGTTCTTAAAATATATCTGTGTTCTTCCAAAATCTCTGCTATCACAAATGACCCCTTGAATTTTGGATCTAACTTAGTTTGAATTCTTTCCTCATTTTTGCGCAATACAAAATCACAAAGATTAAATCTAACTACTTTAGATTTAATTTTGCCAAATCTATCTTTATCATATTTAGCGCTAATCTCTATATTCTTCATTATCTGCTGGCTTATATCGGTGATATCTATTTCTCTTTCTTCAATATTGTCGGGCAGCAATGAACCGTTTTACCGATTAATAATCCTAACGGACTCGACTTAGTCACACGATTAGTGGTGCAATTCAAAGTAATTCTTCAGCGTACCCATAATACGTTCTACATGCCCATTAGCCTACTAGCACCGCTTGCTATCAAATGGAGTTTAATTTGTGTAACGTGACAGAAATCTTGGAATTCTTTATCGGTAGAGCAGCTTCCTTGATCCGCTATTATCCGGCAAGGACTCTCGAATAAAAATAT